TGGCCTCTCAGGTGGTTTTAGTTTGCATTTTGTTATGAATGAAGTTAGGCATGTTTTCTTTGCTTAAGAGTCACTGACTTAAAAAAAATCAAAACTACACTATATGCCATCTCACCACAGTTAGAAGGACTCTTATCAAGAAAGCAAAAAATAATGAATGTTGGCAAGGATGTGAGGAAAAAGAAACTATGATACTGTATATTGTTGGTGGTAATATATATTATAAAGCACTATAGAAAACAGTAAAGAGAATCTTCAAAAAACAAAGAAAAAATTACATATGATCCAGCCATATAGCTTCTAGGTTTATAACCCAAGGAATCAGCCTACAGTAGCTATGCCTGCATAGTTGGGTACTTATGTGTTTCTTGTGGCATTAGTCACAATAGCCAAGTTATGGGATCAGCCTAGAGGTCCACAAGCCAATGAATGGACAAAGAACATGTATATACATATATATGTGTGCGTGTATTATATATATTATATTTTATTTTAAATCTATGATATATTATATTATATATACAGTCAAATAGTTTTCAGCCACAAGGAAGAACAAATCACATCGTTTGTAGGTAAATGGCTGAAACTGGAGATCATCATGTTTAGTGAAATAAGATAAATTTAGAAAGACCAGTATGGCATATTTCCCCTCATATGTGAACTCTACAGGGGAAAAAAGATGACAGATAGTAGAAAGGGAACTGTTAGGTATGGGGAAGAGACCCAGAGCACAACAGGTGGGTGGATATGATCACCTTTATATGCATGTATGGAAAAGCCATAATGACACACTTTATTTTGTAAAATTAGTGTGTGAATAGCTATAATAAAAGAACTATTGTTATGAACATCTTAGAAAGAAAAGAAAAAATCATTTTTCTGAACATACCTTTTCTCATTTTCCTATTGGTGTATTGGTCAGATTCTTAGCAATTTCTAGACGTTCTTTATGTGGTTGAATATTAGTTCTTTGAAATAAGAACTACAAATATTTTTTATAACTTGTCTTTGTTATTTTGCTTATGCTGTTTTTTGCCATACAAAATTTATTTTTAATGAAATTGCAAACTTACGACTTTTAGATTTTTTAATAGAGTTTATTTTTAATAGTTTTGGGTTTATAAGAATATTGACCTTGAACAAAAGGTAGAGATTTCCCATATATCGGCTTACTAATGCAGTTGCATAGCCTACCATATTCCCCCACCAGAATGGCATGTTTGTTTAAATGGATGTGCTGATGTTAACACATCACTGTCCATTGTTTACATGAGGTTTCACTCTTCCTGTTGTAAATTCTTTAGATTTACAAAAATTTATAATGGCATGTATCCATCATCATAGTGTTACTCAAATAGTTTCACTGCTTTAAAAATTCTCTGTACTCTGCCAATTCTTCCCTTACTCCCTTGCCACAGCTAAGAGTTTTACAGCCTCTAAAGCTTTGATTTTTTCCAGAATGTCATACAATTGGACTTGTACAGTACATAGTCTTTCCATATTGGCTTCTTCCACTCCATAATATGCTTTTAATCTTCTCCCTATGTCTTTCCAGGGCACAGTAGCGCTAAATATTTTATATCTGAATGTACCATGCTTTATTGATTCTCTTACTGAAGGACATCATAAAGCTGCTGCAGACATCCATAAGCATCCATATTCATGTTTAGAAATAAGTTTTCAATTCTATTGGATAAATATCAGGTGTAATTTCTGTATTATGTGTAAGACTGGGTTTAGTTGTGAAAGATATCACTAAACTATTTTGTAAAGTAGGGCAGCTTCTTATTTCTATTCTTGCAGTATGATGTTAACTATAGGTTTTCAGAAATGTTCATTATCAAGTCGAAGCTATTATCATCTGTCCCTAGCTTACTGGAAGTTGTATCATAAATGAATGTTAGACTTTGTCAAATACTCTTTCTGTATCCATTGATATGATTGTGTAATTTTTATTTTTAACTAAATGATGTGATGGATTACATTAATTGAATTTTTGTTTTGAACCAGCCTTGTACACCTGTGATAAATTTTACTTTGTTTTGGTGTGTGATTTATTGCATACATTGTTACATTACATTTTTTAATATTTTGTTGAGTTTTGCACTATGTTCATGAGAAATACTGATTTGTAGCTTTCTTGTGATGGACTTTTAGATTTTAAATCATAGGTAGAAAAGTCTAATGTTAAGAAATTTTCTCATGTTTTCTCATTCCCTTATGGTTTTGTATTATTATTATTATTATTATTATTATTATTTTGGCTTTTTTTTGAGAGAGGGTCTCACTATGTAGTTGAAACTGACCTGGAACTCACTATGTAGCCCAGGCTGGTCTCAAACTCATAGAGATCCTCCTGCCTCAGCCTACAGAGTACTGGGATTTACAGGCGTGTGCCACCACGCCCAGCTTGGTTCCGTCTTTATACTTTAAAGTTTTAAACCCTTTAATCCATAACATTGTGAGTTACTGTGAAAATTAATTTTTTTTTTGTGGACAGCTATCTGGTGAGTCTAATACTACTCTTTTAGTATGACGATACTTTACTACTCTTTTGAGATGGTATTCAGTGTTTTATACTAAATATCTGATCGTCTGGAGTCTATTTCTTCAATCTGCTACATTGATATTATCTTTTGATGTATAGTTTGTTTGCATAATACAAATAGCTTTTAGGAAACTAATTTCTGACGACTAACTTTATTGCTGTATTTTAAGTTCAAATTCTGTTTTCTCTTTCAATCTTGTTTATGCAGAAATGTAGATTACTTCTCTACACTAATAAAGTATCAATTTATTGTTGTATATAACAGTAATATTTGATGCCATTTCATGACTTAAATGTAATTACAGTATCTTTTATTTATAAAGGTTCAATCATGATAACTTTACTAGGTGCCTCTGGTGTGTTTTGTGAACTATACCAATTGTGTGAGAGTTTCTAAGGTTACTCTGATTCCCTTTCTTTGATCTATATCTATAAAATTGCTATACCATATTACGAAAAAATAATTGTTATAAAAATTGAATTAAAATACTGTTACACTACAAATTGCAAAGATAATATTTAGAAGAATTAAAAAATAAAATGCTTTTGATAGAAGAAAAGACAATGAAAAAATACATGGGTTCTGGTTTCAAATAAATGATCAAGGTCTCCTCTGGTTCATTGTAATTTTCACATACATTTCTCTTTCCATTATTTTGCCTGGGTGCTTGATTTGCAAGATAAAGCTCTTCACATGGATTCCTCTGGCTTGGGAACCCAAGTGCTGTCAGCTGCCTCACTGTCAGCAATTGTCTCAGTTGTATCTGTCCCTTTTGTGAACCATCTTTAGAGAACTGAAGTCATGCGCTTAATTTGCCTTGCTGCTACATATCCCTACAAAGGTCCCTGCTTTCATTTTCTTTGATTATAGAGATGGAAGTTGTAATATACTTGGGATGTCTCTACATTTCAGCTTGGTTTAGCTTCCCCTGAAATGGACAGAAACTTAGGAAAGAAGTGGAATGAATAGTGTTGTCTCTTCACTCAAGAGCAAAAGATTGCCCTTTTTAAACAGCTGGTACAATAGGACATTTCTTTGTCACTCCATTATTACAAATACCTTGTTAGACTCTATTCTCAATAAAAAAAATAATAAATCCTAAATAAAACTCATTTTCAGAAAGAGCTTGTCTCCTTATATTTAAAATGGCATTTTATAAGCCTCTGAAGATATTTAAACTTATTTCACATCAGCCTTCTTATTGAAGCCAAGCCATATCAGTTTTGCTTAATTTCTCTAATCACTTTATTCTCAGCATGTTCCAAATGTGTCACATCTCTCTGTAGATTCCAGACCTGGACTGAATTCTTTAATGGTGTTCTGATTTGGATCAAATAAAATGGAAGGATCTCACCTTTGTTGTTCATTATATATTTCAGGAAATGTTATTTCCAAAATTAAAACATACCCTCTAAATATTGGTGTAATGCTTCTACATGGTCTGATATTCTTCCAGTGACTGTATTTGTCCCCATAGCCAAGATGACATGAGGCTGTGAGGTTGCATAGACTTAGAAGGGCCCCATACTTGTTTAATGGTCCGTCCCTGCTGCCTTGAAATTCATAATAAGAGGTTCCTTGCTTTCTTTTACATTGGATTCTACAAAGTAAGTAGCTGACCCTGCTTGTAGTTTATGACTAGAGGACATGGTTAATAAGTCACAGCCTATGTCTAATCTACCATCAGTAATAGTTGTGGGAGCTAGACTCAGAGTAAGGAAATCTGGTTGTAGTTTTGCATTCTGCTCTGTGGTTCACAACTCCTCTTCCAAACTGCTGAAAGATGTCCTCATTTCTCACCTCTTGTCTCTGTTTTAACTTTGGATTTATTGCCTTACATTTCTCTTTATTTCACCTCAGGCCATTACTCTTTATTTCTCCTCAGATATAGATGTATTTTTGTTTGTGGATTCTAAACTTTTGGTGACCAGTAGTTTTTTTCCTAAAGATTCTTTTTCAGGGTACCTCCTGTCCTTTATTGCCTTCCTTCTTATTTTTGTCCAAAGTGTTATTTACTCATTTGCAACAGTTCTTACCCTCTCAGCTTTCTTTGTTGTAGGATATCTAGGAATTTTGTGCAGTAAATTTCTCACCCAAAGTTTAGGTTTTTCTGTCTGTGCAAAGAGACTGTGATGCTTATCACACTAATTCTCTCTGGGATAGAAATTTGCGCTCCATCTCCAAAGCAAGATTCTAAGATTCCTGGGGGAAGTAAATTAAAACATTTTTAAGTTAAGCTGTAAGTATATGTAGTAGGTTAATTTAGCTTTCTTTACCATAAAGCTAATTCTAGGAGTCAGATCACATATTTATGTACATACATACATACGTGTAACTTTTATTTAATACATATAAAATATAACATGTCTAACATATCAAATGTAACTTTTAGTAATCTCTATATTTCATGCATCAGTTCATTTATCAACTTATTTTGTGTTTTCCTTGTAGCTTAACAAACAACAATTGCAGTTACTGAAAGAACGTTTCCAGGCCTTCCTCAATGGGGAAACCCAAATTGTAGCTGATGAAGCATTTTGCAATGCAGTTCGGAGTTACTATGAGGTAAGTTAAAGAGCTTTGTTTTCTGCATGTGGATACTTCAAAAAATATTTTTAAATGGCTCTCCCATTTAAAAAACTTCATGATATTACAGGAAGTCTGTGAGTCTGCAACTGTCTTCAAAGCATTATTAGTTTTGTTTTGCAATTTAAAAACTAATTCCACAGCCTGCTTTTGAGAGATAAACAGAATTGGAAATTTTTCTCATCTTTTGAGAAGCAGTAAACAGTTTAGAAAAATCTTCTGGCAGTTATTGATATAGCTGAATATAGCTATCTTTAGGTCCACATGTCTAAATTATCCTTTTTAATCAGGATTTCATAGTAAATTGCTATCTTATGCCATTTTGTTCAGTAAGCTTTATAATAATTAAGCCCAGTAAATCATTTACAGGATAAATTGAATTTTCTTTTCTTATTGAACAAATAATACTACCAATACCATCTTGCTGTTTCTTCTGATTTTAGCTTGTGACTCATGGAAAATCTCTATGGATTTGCTACGAGCATAAGTTTTCACACATGGTTATTAACTGCTTCAGTGAGTTGCCAATAGATGTTAAGTTTATTCTGTTTTTTTCCTAATCACCTCAGAGTAATACTTTAGACTTTTCAGCATAATGTACAAATATATATATATAACACTAGTAAAAAAAATGTGGAGTCATCATGGTCTGAACTTTTTTGAGGTGATATTTTTATACAAAAAGTAAAGTAACTGGGTGTAGATACTTGATTGGATCTGGAATTGATGAAAGGTATGCATCAGAGTTTACATAATGCAACCCTGGAGAAGTTTATATTACCTTAAGCTTCTGCCTGTTCAGTTAGATAAAAGTATGGAAATCTTACTTTCCAAGTATTCATATGATGTAGCAACAGTGGATATTATTGTATAACTTGATCTTGGCTCAGAATATCTTAACAAGTAGGGGACCTTACACTTCATTTTGTAACATTCAAGCCTGACTTGCATGATAAAATCTTGCTTTGGATCTTAAAAAATGAGATAAAGTAGAGTCTTCTATTTGTGTTATGTGGTGAAACAAATGAGAGGTATAATGTCTCAAGATAATGTGCTCACGAAAGCATATTTTTAAAAAATAAAACACTGAACTCAAGGGAAACTTAAACTGAGTGAAGCTCACTGTATTACCTTTGTAAATTTTTGTAAATATAAAATCATTCCAAAATAAGTGTTTCTTTTAAATGCAATATGATGTGAACACACTTTAGTGAAAGGCACAGTTAAGCTATTTCAATACAGATATTTTAACTCAAATGAGAGAGAGAGTACTCCTACTGTATTCTTCCTGAGGATTGTGCTCTTTTCTGGGTGTACTGAGACTTGGACAAGTACAGGTTTAACAGGTATTCAGCATATTGCATGTAAGTTACTTGAAGAAACTGGAGATGTTTCCTCTGGAGACAGATATGGTTTGTGTTGTATGTGGTCCCAAAAGAAAACTAGAACTAAGATAGAAATGGAAAATGAGCAAGGTTTCCTCTCTGTTTTGTAAATGATACTTCTTAAGTGCTTTTATGAATAGACATTTCATCTTGATCATAGTTACATATATTCTATAGACACTTAAGTTATCTGCCTTTTGGAGGGACTAGAAATATGCTCAGTTATAAAGTGTTTGCCTCATTCACAGGGGGTCCTGGGTTTGAACCACTGAGTGGGGAAGGCATCTGTCTGTTCTTACATTGGTGGTTCTCTTAGATACTTGGTCTATGTTACCTCTCTTTAACGCTTAGGATCTTAGTATGAAACTCAACACGTTTTGTTTCCTTCCACTTTTTGATTGAAGATACTTTTTCATGGCACATTATTTAAGGTAAATAATTCCTTTCTAAGAGATCATGCTATAATTAGATTTTTCAGGGGTTTTTATATGATATTCCCTTAAATGTATGTGATTATACTTGTGTATCTGAATATCAGATTGAATGTGCATTTATATTAATGCTTTTCCATTTTTGTGTTACATAAAAAAGTATTTACTTAATATGATTAATTTCTATTACAACTTTTTATGTCTTAAACACTATAAAGTAATGAAAATAATAAATCTGTTTTTTAAAATTTATCAATATATTTCAGTGTAAAGCTTGCATAGTTAGAAAAAATAGCCTGAACTATCTAAACCACTTAAGTAGGTATACAAAATGGTAGTTAATGACAAGAACAGGAAAACAAGAGAAAAAAAGCAGTTGGCATGTGTAACTTAATAAAAGTCAATAGTCACAACATAGATCATCTTATGGTTGTGCCTAATTGATGATAGATTCTGCTGCACTTTCATGTTTTGTAGAATTTTTTCTTCAAGCATTTTTCTGACTAGAAGAAGATACAAAACGGACACTAGTTCTATAAGCATTAAGTATTTTTTGGCCATATCAGTTTTGTTTTTGTTTTTGTTAATCTGGGGAACTTCAGCTGCTTCTGCAAATGGGCAAACGTAGGTTTAGAGCGGTTTGTTCTGTCCACGCTGTTCTTCCCCTCAGATTGCTGCTTGTTTCATGGACGCAGGTGAACTTCCTCCAAATGCACCAAATGACAGTGTGATTGATAACAGGTACGGGGAAATGTAGACAGCCTTTCTCCTCAAGATTTCCAAAAGACAGTGTGTGATTGCTTACCAACTGCTATCAGCCGAAGAAAAGCTTTTAGGTTTTGTTACTGTAAAATAATAGATATTAGAACTTTATTTTTTCCTTTCCTTTGTGTTTGTTGGTGGGGAGCTTGGCTTTGTTTACAGCTTTGAAAACATGAAGTATAAATTTCCTCTTTTGTTTGTTTATCTTCTCTTATTGTTCCAAAGCATGGATGAGAATTACTTGAGTATTTAATCTTTTAAAAATTATCAAAGAATTACTAAAATAGATCTTAAAACCATAATGCTATCACTGCTCTTAGTTGTTCAGGTTTCTTGCTTGTTGTAATGAGACAAATGAGAATTCCTCCCATAAGCTAAAAATATTTTCAATATCATCTTCTTTTGCTATGACTCTCATAAATGTTTCAATCTCAAAAAAGTGTAGCTCTGATTTTGGCCCTTTTGTTTCATATTTTTATGTGAAATGTAGTCACTGGCACTTATAGAAGTTTTCTGTTTGGGTATTACATTAAGGTTTTAATTTTTAATTGAAGTAATATGTGTTTATGTTAAAGGTAAGACATTTTTTAATTTTTCATTTTACTGGTGCATTTTAGATATACATAGCATTCATCGTAGGGAATTTGTACTTGTTTATGATATATCTTGCTGCTGCTTTTTTTCCCATTCTCCTCCTCTCCCTTCAACTTCCCCCTCCCATCCTTATCTACAAAAGCCTTGTTTCCATTTTTTCCCTTCCATTCTTTTTTTTTCTTATCCACTCCTTCCTTTTTCCTTTCCCCTTTACTCATTTCCTTCCTCAATTGAACATTTTCTTCCTGTTTCCCAGTATCTTTTGCACATTTTGGTTCTTATATTTGTGGTAAGAAATATTAAAAAGAGGAAAAGTGTATGTAATTCTACAACTTGTTAAAAAGTCTCTCAGTTATAAAAAGAAGAAATGACTGTTTTCTCTATAGTGCCAGAGCCTACAAAGAACTTCTTTTGATAGTTTAGTATCTCTGTTATATATGTTTGAAATTGAAATCACTTCAAGTTTTTACATAGTATTACATCATGAGCATTCTATAATGTGAAATGTTCTCCATCCACACTTTTAAATAAGCACGTAATAAATTATTAGGTGCTTATTTCTAAGCATTTGATTTTCTTTTTGTTAGACACTTAAATTTTCTGCATTTTGGCTATTAAAAATGTTGAAAGAATCATTCATATTCTTCAGTTGGCTGTCTCATAAATTTCCACAAGTGCAATAACTGGATAATGGGTGATGAGCATTGTTTCAGCTCTTTTTGCAGATTACAAATTGCCCTTAAGAAAAGCAATTACAATTTATGCTGTCATAACATTATAAAATGCTGCTTTTTTCCTGTAAAATTGGTATTACCGAGAAAATACATGACAAGTATTGGGTTTACTTGATTTTTTTTTTCTACTTGAGAGCTCCATTTTAGTCAGTCTTCTTTTTTTGTTTATAAATTGTTTATGTCCTTTGTCTATTTTTGCATTTGAACATTCATCCTTTATGTATTTACAGGTATTATTTACACACCAAATAGTCTATAACCTTGTGTTAGGCTATAATTATTTTGTTTTGTTTGTTTGTTTGTTTTTCCTTTTGTATTTATTTTTTGTAAGTTTTCTTACCTCTGACATTTATTTCTTTGTCCACTCAAAATGAAAGGGGTTCACATTCCAGGCAGACTACGCTCCATTTGATTTCTTTGGGATTTCTTTTTTTCTTGTTCATAAATCATTGGTGACAGTGATTTGCATCATAGTTTCCCTTCCCCTCATTCTAGCCACCACCTCTCTTAGTAGCTCTGTGACTCAGTTTCACTCCAGAATCATGCTGTGTATCTGTTTCACCATATATAGAAGAGGGAAGATGATCTCTAAAGCTTTCTCCAGTTGCACATATTACTGAGGTTTAAATATATTTCTGTGTACTTTCTCTTTCCTAGTCTGGATTGCTCCTCCTTCTCCAAAGTGTAAAAAAAAAAGAGACAGAGGAGAGGAAGAAAACAGGGAAGGAGAGAGGAAGGGAGGAAGGGGAGAAGAGAGACAGAGACACATAAACAACAGCTAGCTACTATAACTTCAATGAAAATCTCCAGCTTATAACTTTTGAGTCTTTATTCACATCCTACTTAGTATCAAAGAACTTAACTTCATCAGTGAACTTCTCATGGAAATTAGTTGTCTTCTCTGACTTCCTACTATCAGCAGTCACTTTGTATTATATTCTTCTTATGCATCTGTCCTCTTTCCCTGACACTGTATGCCCCAACACAATATTTATTTTAAAATTAAGTGAATTGCTTAATGCTTGGCTTGTGAAAACTGAACATTTTAAAGCATTTTTTATTTGTTTATATGG